GTTAGAAAACGAAAATTCATCGATGAAGTTTTGAGGTCCTGTGAAATTAATTTCGGTGAAAAATTGACTGTAACATCATTTCATTGTGAAATGTGAAGCAACTGGCCTAAATGCGCAATAAGCGATTAGTCGAAAGCATTTTCAGTAAACATTGGTCGAGAATGCAGCTTTCATCGCCAATTTTATTATGAAGTTTACTCTGGAAATTTCCTACAATCGAATTAGGACTCCAAATTAAAGCGTTGTCATATAGAAATAGGGCTTTGTTTACAGCTTGCGGTTTTTGTAGGATTCGTTTGTCAACCACTGAATTCTCTAGTGATTAAATTGATTTCGCCCGTTGTAATTTGTAGAAAACTTTGTGGTTACTTGAATATGACTTTGTTATTTTGGTCTCTTCATTTAGAAACGATGATATATTCTATACAAGAGAGTGGGTTGAACTGTTACATTTAGTGTCTCAATGTTCGACAGTTTCAGTTCGTTTTCCATCATAAGTAAAATCTACTTGAAAAGTCGAATGAATATCTCCTTCATTTTCTAATGGAGTACACGTTCATACAGACACTTAGTGGTCTGATGATTTAACAGAACAAATCTGAACACTGCCGATCGTAAAGTTGGAACAAAATACATTTTTGATCCTTCAACAATATTTGCCATGGCACAGATGTACTAGCAGCCAAAAAAACAAAAAATAATTGAATATTCGATATCTTCATCTGTCAGCAGCACTAGTATCAGAATCACAACAGAATCACCGACTAAATGATATAGAATATAAGAATTACACACTGTACATACACAAATGGAAATGAATGCAAGTACACGCTACAGTTCAAACTACCAGTGTATTGAAATACCTTGAAGGTTCTTTGCTGGAAAATAATGTAGATGCATCAATTCATAAAGATTGTGGTACGCAGACGAGCACATACAGACATGGTGTGCAAATAACAGCATTCATTGATACTCATGACCAGGAGAAAATGCCAGTAAAAGCAAATAATGAAGCAGAAGTTGAATATGTGGATGAAGAATCAACTTACAAGGATTTGGGTAATGTCAACTCATTTGAGGGGATTTCAAGAGTCTCTTCCGCGAATTCAATTAATACTCATGACCAGGAGGAAATGCCAGTAAAAGCAAATATTGAAGCAGAAGTTGAATATGTGGATGAAAAACCAACTCACAAGGATTTGGGTAATGTCAACTTATTTGAGGAGATTTCAAGAGTCTCTTCCGCGAATTCAATTATTGAAAGTGACTTGAAAATGCCTAATAACACTAAGTAAAATATTAGTCATAGGGGATCAGTATGCAACAAATTTTTCTTTTGCCAATTACCAAATAAAAAAAATTCTAAACCAGAAATGGAACTTTCATATATCACAAGTGAAATTTTTAACGATACACTACAATACGGATATAAAGATCACGTAATAATTTTGATTAGCACTAATAATATCAGTAACAACATACTTTTATACCTTGCATTGAAGCAAATATTACCCATTAGTAGATTCACAAATCTGTTACATGTTTCAGAAAGACATAACTCTTCGGATCAGATTATAGTCAATTAAGTGAAATAAATAAATGGTTATAGAAAACGCAATACATGCACTTCCTTAAGGTATGTAATATAAATATAATGAGAGTATGGGTAGCAAAATAATAATACTCAATAAAGTGGTTAGTTTTCTCTCACTCACAAGAAGTAATATAGTTCTTAGGTCTATTGAACTTTCATTTAGTGACCATATGAATATTATCAATGATATTATTTGCTATTTCAAAGAAATTAAATTGTATATTAT